TTGTTGGTACACATCTTAGTTTTGTAAATAAAAACAGACTACTTTTAACAGATAGCCCACATGCTGAGCTTTCATCATACAGAATCCTTTCACACATACACACAATCTCTCTTTGGCACGCAGTTTCACAGATTATGTGCACATTTCAGTTTATTGATTCAACATTCTAAAATTAGATAGATAGATAGATAGATAGATAGATAGATAGATAGATAGATAGATAGATAGATAGATAGATAGATAGATAGATAGATAGATAGTACACAGTATTACTTCCATAGTGGTTAGAAGCAGAATCATTCTTCATGGCAAACTATCCACGTCAAAGCTACAAAAGGGTTTTTGGTTTGGAAAGCACTCTAAGAAAGAACAGTGATGTGAATATATAAATATAAAAGACATGCTCTTAGCTGAATGATATTTAGGAACAGAACTAAAAAAGTCCTCCTCTAATACCATTTACTAAGAGGGGGGGAGGGAGAGAGAGAGAGATCTAATCTGAATTTTTGACAAACACTAAAGTAATTTCCAGAAGCCTCTGGTAATTGCTCTAGATTTTATTTTCCTTATTTCCTAAATGATTCATGTTACTGACTTACACATTTGTCATTCACAATTTATAAATGGCAGCTTAACTGTAGTATTTATGAATTGAGATCAATACTTTAGCAATCAAAACACTCACCTTTCGGTTTCAACATACCATGCTTTTCCCCTCCTCCCCCAACTTTCGCCCGGGATGTCTGAACAGCAATCGAAGTTTAGAGAGCTCTCCCAGTGGCTGCTTGGGAATATATGTGCAGAGACAGTAGTCCCAGTTTCGGTACTAAAACATTAATCGAGGAAAAGAAAGAGGTCACAGAGCATACCAGGTCCTTTTAAATATCGGTGATACTTGAATGCAAAAAAGCTTCTTACAGATCAGAATCGTGTATAGAAGTGTTGAAATTGCCTATTCCAGCTGTTCACTACCGCAAGCTTCCATAGATACCACATAGCATTCGACAAAGGTTCCTTTGTGCGTGATAAGATTTATATTTTGGTTATCTTGTGAAACCTGTTTAGTGTGTCTTGGGTGGGGCTCGATCTCTAATGAATTTTTTAACGGACTTGAGGAGAGGGCGGAGATACTGGAGTATCGACTCTGAGACACTGAGTAGTGTATGTGCTGGAAAAATATAATTTTCGGGTTATCTGTCAGGCATTACTATGTTACTGCGATTCAATAACTGTTAAGTGGCAAGTCGGTTTTTTTTTTTAAACCGAGGGCAGGGACATTGGGTGAAGATCGCTGCCTGCCCAGCGATATCACAGAAGACTTATAGAACCGGCAGCTGGATCACATGAACAGTTTCTCGTTCCCACAATGAAGTATTCTAACTGTACTCAGGGATTTAAGAGAATCTGGGATGTATGTCATGTATACACATTTTATCCCGTCATACGCTGCTACTACAGCCTGACATATGGGAAGTATTGGTCCTAATTTTTCTCTATTTTGTGCGATCACCGAGGACTTCTTAATATTTCTACAAAAAAAATAATAAAAATGCCAGAGAGACGCTGCGGTGTGTAAAAACGAGACACTGCAGTTTACAAGCAACAAGCCCTTCTCACATTGTTAGTCTCCAATCTAACTGATCTAATCAATGACACCAAAGCACTGGGGATTCTAGGACCGCCTCCCCAAGCCTTTCCACTGATTCTCATTGGAAGCTGGGCTCGGAGGCAGGTTCCGTTTCTCAGAACGGATTGGCTGGTAGGGAATCAGTATCAATGTTTAAGCAGCGGCGTGAGGTGAATAGAGTCAGTCGGCAAGAGGCACTGGGAGAGAGCGATGGGGCTGGGAACCCAGCGAATGCTGCAGTAAGGGAGGGGGAGATATACGAGACAGTGTTCCAACTGTTGAATTTTCGCAAATCTCCACTTACCTACGGACGGCGTGTAATGTGGATCTGTTTTCTCTGAAATCGACATTTCTTTTGCATACGGTATGGTTAACGCTGGGCTAAAGCCTGTTTGAAAGGTGCCACCGAGAGAAGAATTTTTAAAAATCCCTCTACAACAGACTGCAGAATTAACTGTGCACAGAGGCTCCGGATTCAAATAGAGGAGAAAAAACAGTACAGAACTGAGACTTGGAACTAGAACTGTGAACAATTCCATGGGAACCCGTGCTTTCCCCCCCGTTAATGTGCAAGATCTCTGGGTGTTTCACACATAACACTGAGGAAAGGTGGCTAAAACACTCAGCAAAGCAGGAGACAGACGCGCCTCTGTGCCCGTGAGTGGATAACAGCCTTGTTTTCCTGATCCTCAGTCTCCCGGAGAAAGAGGTATAGTAAAAGTGCAGCTGGATTCGACACCCTCCTCTTTCTTCCCCTCTCTTTTTCCTCCAAAACATGAATCTGATTTTTCTGTCTATAGCGTGAGTCAGAGAAGCGTTAGGAGGAAGCTGCAACTAATGTCTGTGAAGGGAGGAACATGAGGCGATAGTGAATGTGATTTGTTCCGCTGGATCTGACTCATCCAGCAGATTGAAACACCTGCATTTCTGGATGTGTCAATCATTTCTTTTCGGCAGTTAAAAGAACCTGAAATAAAATTGTACCCCCTCCCCGATATATACCTATACATAATATCACTGGGGACTGTAAATCATCCCGGGTGAACGCATCTGGCATTGCGGCCGCTCTCCTCCCGTACACCAAGATGCCCAGAAAGACTATTACAGCTTGAAAAGACTGCAAAATGCATCCCACCAAACACTGAATTGCATTTGTTTTATTCTAAAAGAATTGTCGATCAAAATATTTGCCTCTTTTTATTCATCGCTAAGATTCCCTCTCCCCTAAATGAAGAGGACTAGGAGGCAGTGTCATTGGAAGGAGATGCTGAATAGAAAGAAAAGAGGGGCACTTGACAGCTCAGCCTTGTGAATGCAGAGACTGTTTCCCTTTTAGCGAGAGACTAAGAGTGTGTGTGTGTGGTGGGTTGCTTTTATTTATTTTTTTCTCTCTCGCTCCCTTTTCTTAATCTGTGCGTCCAGCCATGGGTTGCCTGTTGATTTCCTCTCGACTGGAGAGAAAAGCAAACTGGAATTAAACTGCATCGAGAAAAGTGCTGCTCCACAGACACACACACGCAGTGTGTGAGAGAGGATGTGGTGGTGGCGGCGGCTACTGGCCTGTCTTAAAGCAACCCATGTGTGCATTTGATTGAGCAGAGCCTGTGATTTTTAAAAAACACATCTATCGCTAGTGATGACGAGCAGCTGGTGGGTTTCTTAATCTCCCCCCTCCCCTGAGAAAGAGAGGGAGGCTGGTGGCGCGGGGAGAGAAAGGAAGGGAAACTACAAATCCGGACACTAGTTTTCACACTGCAATTTCCCTTCCCTCTTTTTGTT